CCGAAGGTCCCTGGCTCGAACCCTGATGGGGCAGGATCATACTACATACTAAAACAAATTAGCTGTCCATTGTTTCTCCAAGTAATGTCAGTGTATGATAAATTCAAGCCTGAAAGTAATAAATCCCCACAAACCTCCATATAGTTAGATATTTACTTTACACTGTCTCTATATATGACTCTTTAGATTATTCATAGTTAAACATCACTGTTAAGCCTTTTTCCTGAAAGATCGAACCTACTAATAAATTCGGGTAACGTTGTATTCTCTCATAATGTTTGGAAAGGGAAGATTACGACAATTTAATTGAATACATCCGAATAAATTTACTGTTACGCTAAAAGCATTAATCACGCATATTGTTGTTATTCTTGGATTTCAAAAGAAGGAAAAACCCACTGAAGTAAAAATTGCAACAAATCGAACACAGTTTTTTATTTGTGAACATTGTGTCTCCCACAGTAGAAAAGTAAATTTTATCTATCCAATATCCTTAAGAATAAGGGAAATATGCACGGAGGACAACATTGATGATGAACTAAAGAACAGGTAAAAGTTTCTTGTGGAATTTCAATAACCATCCAAAAATTATAAATAAAATAAAACGCCGAAAAGCATCATTTAACACGCACATATTATTCTGGAAAGGTTTTACTACTGAACTTTAAATTCAAGCATAACAGTCTAGCAGATATCCCGGGGAAATGACAGTCCTAGCTCAAAAGAACATTTTCCGCTATTAATCTGAGAAGCACATTCTTCTGTCGGAAACTCATTCTTTGGTAGATACACGATATTCTCTACTATTGGTACATACTTATTTGTTTGTAAATGAGTTTACTTGCTCCTATAGGATCGAGTACATCCAAATGTTCTGGTGAGAACTGTCATGCTTAACTGACAAACAGAGAACGGAAACGCATACTTAGCTCTACAAAAAAATACTTAGTAAACAGATGAAGCTTAGCTTCTTGTGATAGATCATTCAAAATATTGTACATAATACAACCAGGACATCCTAGATGAGGAAAAATAAGACAATAATGAAGAATCAGGAGTTGAAAAGTTCAAACCGTTATTATACGTCGAAAAAAGACACAAGTGACCTTGTTCTTTGAAATAGTTATCATAAAGGAGTGACCATTACACGTAATCCCCGTCGATATGATCATATTGCTTTATATAAATCCCTATTTATACTCAGTATCTCCTCTTTTGCTATCTACCTCATTTTCATCATTGAACATAAACTGGTCTGGAGTATTCTCTCTATCTCATTAAATTTTCATAAAATTATAGCTAGGAGAACCTCGCCTGGTTAACTAGTTCACAGTTACTAGCCGGTGCTAAGCTCGGGTAAAGAGGGAAGGTTGGGCATAGGGCTAGCAACCCTACCTCGTAAAACAAATTTAACCGCTAAAGAAACTTCAAAGCATGAACGATATATGAAAAATAATAACAAAATTATTCCTCGCTGGAATCGGAGAGGCGAAATGACGCCAGTTGGTGAAAGCCTTCGGGAAGCCAATTGACCGGGCCGAGGTGTCTTCTCTCGATGAAGGCGAAAGTAAGGATGGGGACATGGAATGTCCTCACGATGTTTGAACTCAGCAAGGCAGCCCAGATTGCAAAGGAGATGAGAAGGTATAACATCGAAGTGCTTGGAATTTGCGAAAGTAGATGGAATGGGAGTGGACTCTTCAAACTGTCAACTGGAGAATCAGTAATTTACCCCGATATTGTCACCCAGACGACAGCCACGAGCACACTGAGGGAGTGGCTATCATGATGTCCTCAAGAGCATCGAAGGCTCTCATGCAGTGGGAACCAATCTCCTCCAGGATCATGACAGTAAGATTCAACTCAAAAGGAAAGAAAGTCACAATCATACAATGCTACGCTATGCACCTACAAATAATGTAGAGCAAGAGAAAAAGGAGGATTTCTACAGACAACTTCAATCAACACTGGACAAGACGTCAGTTGGCGATATCGAAATTCTAATGAGTAGTGTGACATGAATGCCAAACTGGGAGTGGACAACACAGGAAGAGAACTAACCATGGGTCGAGAAGCGCTTGGTGAGGTGATGAACCAGAATGGAGAATTGTTTGCAGAATTCTATGCATTCAACGATTTGGTGATTGGAGGTGAGGCAGTTGAAAGCCTCCAGGGAAGCTGGTGATAGACCGCAGTTCAAGCACAACACCCAGAACAGAAACTGAAGGACGAAACTATAAAGGAAATCTTCACGGCAGCCATCAAGACAAAATGGGAGACATCGAGCAACATCCCTGAAGAAACCTGTGTGGAAGAACACTGGAAGTCTTTGAAAGCTATGTGGAAAGAAACCTGCACAGCCGTATTAGGAAGGAAGAAGAAAGAAGACAAGGAAGGAATGGATGTTGACGGACACATGGAAGCTGATAGAGCAGGGAGAGGAGGATGGTGAAGCAGAAGATGAACCAGTGCAGTGCAAGGATGAACAACGAAAAGAGGAACTGAGTACAACGTATAAAACACTACACTGGACAAAGAAGTGAAGAAGAAGAAGAAGAGTGCGCACAAAAGACACTTCTACGACACACTGGCAAGTGAAGCAGAACAGGCTGCAGGTAAGAGAGACCTGACAACATTGTATCAAATAATCAGGTTACTATCTGCAAAGGAAGAGATCAACGCAGATGAAACCAATAAAAGATGATGAAGGAAATTTAATTACGAAAGAAGAGAAACAAAGGAAACGATGGGCTGACCACTTCAAAAAGCTCTTGAATCGACCACCACCTGCACTCACAGAGCTACCAGTGAACATAAATCCCCCAACAAAAATAGAGGTCCTGAACGCCATAAAGCTACCGAAATGCGGGAAAGCAGCAGGACCAAATGGGATCCCACCAGAAGCACTGAGAACAGATGCAGAGACAATAGCGGACATGCTCACACCACACCACTATTGCAAAAGGTGTGGAAGGAAGAGAAGGTACCGGACGATTGGAAGAAGGGTTACCTTGTCAAACTCCCAAAGAAGGGAGACCCTAGTGTTTGCAAGAACTGGCGAGGAATCACTCTCCTGTCCACCCAAAGCAAGCAAGACATTAAGCCACATCATCCTGGAGAGACTAAAGGATGCGCTGGACCCCAAACTACGACCAGAAGAGGCAGGCTTCAGGAAGTACAAATCATGTGCGGACCGAATCGCAACGCTGCACTACGCATCATCATAGAACAGAGCATAGAATGCCATTCAATCAACTCTCTACCTCAACTTTATCGACTTTGAAAAGGCCTTTGACAGCGTCGACCGAGAGGTAATTTGGAAACTGCTTCAATACTATGGAATACCGCAAACCTTTATCAGCCTCATTCAACAACTATATGAAGATGCCACATGCCGGCCAAGTAATTCACAATGGGAAGCTCAGTGATGCCTTTGAAGTGAAGACCGGAGTGAAACAAGGCTGTCTACTATCACCGATGATCTTCTTGATTGTAGTGGACTGGATCATGCAGCAAACAGTGAGGAGCGAGAAGAGGGGGATACACTGGCTGGACTGCGGAAAAGAACCTAGAAGATCTGGATTTCGCCGATGACTTGTGTCTGATGTCACACAAACTTGAAGATCTACAGGCAAAACTAACAAGTTGACAGAGTAGGCAGGGCAGCGAAGACAGGACTTCAAGTGAATACAGAGAAGATAGAGGTGATGAAGATACCGCACCAACAACTCCAACAAAAACAACAAAATCCAATCAACATCAACGGGAGAAACTTAAAGGAAGTAACCTCCTTCACCTATCTAGGCAGCACTGTTTCAACTACAGGCGGTGGTAGCACAGATGAGGGTGTCAAAGCTAGGATCGGAAAAGCAAGATAAGCGTTCATTAGCCTGGAACTAGTGTGTAGATCTTCTGCACTCAGCATGTAGGACATGATCCGGATTTTCAACACCAGCGCCAAGTCAGTGCTTCTGTATGGCTCAGAGACTTGGCGCGTCACGAAAAGGATTTTCAATAAACTACAGACATTCATCAACAACTGCTTACGCTCGCTACTGAAGATCAGATGGCCAGAATAACAAGAATAAGCAACAAGAAACTTCGGCTGGCGACGAACCAACCAAGAAATTATTGCTCAACAAATATGCACTGGAAGGAAGTGGAGATGGATTTGATTGGGCATACACTGAGAAGGCCTACTGGGGACATCACGTGCCAGCACAGGTCCTTGAGTGAAACGAAAATGGGAAACGATGAGTTTGTCTTCGGAGGTGAGGGTGACATGGAGGAGATCGTGAGGGGAGGAAATGAAGGATTGTGGGCTGTCGTGGAGCCAGGTTCAGATTTCAGAGAACAGAGTTCGCACAAAATAAAATTTTTCTGTACCCTGAAATCGTCTTTTCTCTTCTCTAAAGATTAATTTTTTTTATCCTGTTGGACTTTAGCGTAATCCAGGCAGCCTCAACTTGAGGATTCATTCAAGTTTCAAAATCTGCAGACATTTTATTTTATGACCAACTCTTAGACCTTTCAGTCATTAGTTATGAGAACCGAAAATACCAGAAATGAGCATGCCGATCACTCTTTTCCACCAGTTTCAAAGAGTTTGAACCTACCATTAGAACGCTTTAATAAAACAAAACAAGACAATTTGACTGTAGACAGTCAAAGGACAATATCCTATGAAGGAAGAATAGACGTAACATAAGAGGATAGGTAATAAATAGATGAAGAAATTTACAAGCTTAAAGTTGAAATTTATTTGTGTTTCTCTAAGTTCTTGGCTGCTATGATAAATGCTAAGTGGCAAATTCAACTATTCTAGGTAAGTTGAAATTGACTTATTATTCATTCAGTTATTTTGTTAACAAGATAGAGTTATTTTGTCCCCTATAGCTTATTTGTATTCCTCTATAATGAAGGCTGACCGATCATTCAGGCAATCAATAGTCTCATTTATTTCTCCGTTTTGTTTTGTATTTTGTTTTTTTACTTTTCAGGAGAAGTTTTGGTTGTGTAAATTATGCCAGAAGAAACGTCAACTTGTTGCAAGTTCCGGTAGTTGGCTTCAAGGTCTTGCAAAAACTGATAATAAACAGACAAAAACAATACAAAAAATATTAAGGGTAAGGAATTTAGCATGCAATTCTATCAAGTTTTAATCAATGCTTTATAAGACTGTTATTTGTTGGATACGAGATAGCAGTACAATTAGTGGTTATAAATAATTATTATTATTTATTTGTCCCTTAGAATCCTAGTGGAACATAGGGCTTCAGCAGCACGTCGCCATTTCACTCTCTTCTCTATAGTCTTTTCAACCTGGCTCTACGACTATCCAGAACCTCTCATTTCTTCCTCCCACCATCTCCATGTCACCCTCACCTCCGAAGACAAACTCATCGTTTCCCATTTTCGTTTCACTCAAGGACCTGTGCTGGCACGTGATGTCCCCAGTAGGCCTTCTCAGTGTATGCCCAATCAAATCCATCTCCACTTCCTTCCAGTGCATATTTGTTGAGCAATAATTTCTTGGTTGGTTCGTCGCCAGCCGAAGTTTCTTGTTGCTTATTCTTGTTATTCTGGCCATCTGTTCTTCAGTATCTAGCGTAGGAAGCTGTTAGTCATTGCCAAATTACGAACTGAACACGATAGAAGCCGGTTTACAAGCATCATTGGACTAATAATGGTAGAGAAATCTACAACATTTAAGCTGTCCTAAATAGTAAAAAAGGGAGGACACCAAATTTTATCATAATATCACAAGTGTCTGCGAGTTATGAAACGAACAGAAAAATACCAGTTAACAGCACATAGAGATTTTTTGTGAGTTTATATCGTTTCCATTCATCATTCTCTTTTCACACTAAAAAGGCATCAAAGTCGCGTAATATTCGACTTTTAAGTTACAAGTGACTGACATATTTGACCTGTCTGTATATGTCTCGTGTTTCGTCAGATTAGCACTTATTTTAACTGCATTTCGCACACTTTTAGCTTCATTGGCCAAAAAGAACTCACTTCAACGATTTCAGATATCAGTAAGTTTCCATATAACTATGTAATTCATGTAAGTATCTAAGTTCAAGCATTTCCCGCTCGTCGTGATACCGTACACAGCAATATAGATGTAAGCTATTAGAATTAGTTGTTGTGGTGCAAGGAAATGAAAATTAGAAGTACCACTGTTCAATGGTAATGGATTTTTTATCTAGAATTCACATTGAAGTATGCAGTACAATCAAGTAGTTATGTCAGCTGCTAATTGTCTTCTATCGGACACAGTCAAATGAAATAAGGTACTGGAAACATCTGCTGTATAGGTTTTTTTGGAAATATGTTGCATTCGGAGTCACTAAGTGACTAAGTGACTAAGTCACTAAGTGGTTAACTAGTTTACTAGTTACTAGCCGGTCCTAAGCCCGGGTAAACAGGGAAGGTTGGGCATAGGGCTAGCAACCCTACCCCGTAAAACAAATCTAACCGCTAAAGAAACTTCAAAGCACAAACAAAATATAAAAAATGAAAACAAACTTATTCCCCGCTGGAATCGGAGAGGCGAAATGACGCCAGTTGGTGAAAGCCTTCGGGAAGCCAATTGGCCGATGTGTCTTCTCTCGATGAAAGCGAAAGTAAACGTGGGGACATGGAATGTCCGCACGATGTTTGAACCCAGTAAGGCAGCCCAGATTGCAAAGGAGATGAGAAGGTATAACATCGAAGTGCTTGGGATTTGCGAAAGCAGATGGAATGGGAGTGGACTCTCCAAACTGTCAACTGGAGAATCAATAATCTACTCCGGTCACCCAGACGCCAACCACGAGCACACTGAGGGAGTGGCTATCATGATGTCCTCAAGAGCATCGAAGGCTCTCATGCAGTGGGAACCAATCTCCTCCAGGATCATGACAGCAAGATTCAACTCAAAAGGAAGAAAGGTCACAATCATACAATGTTATGCACCTACAAATAATGCAGAGCAAGAGAAAAAGGAGGATTTCTACAGACAACTTCAATCAACACTGGACAAGACGTCAGTTGGCGATATCAAAATTCTAATGGGCGACATGAATGCCAAACTGGGAGGGGACAACACGGGAAGAGAACTAACCATGGGTCGAGAGGCGCTAGGTGAAATGAATGAGAATGGAGAATTGTTTGCAGAATTCTGTGCATTCAACGATTTGGTGATTGGAGGCAGTGTGTTCAGGCACAAGGATATCCACAAAGCGACATGGACTTCACCAGATGGACACACTAAAAATCAAATCGACTTTATCTCAATCTCAAGAAAATGGAGACGCAGTCTACTTAACACAAGGTCAAGAAGAGGAGCAGATGTAGGTTCAGACCACTATCTAGTGCAAGGAACCTTCCAAATCAAGTTAAAAGCCTTCAAGGAAGCTGGTGATAGACCTCAATTCAAGTACAACACTCGGAAACTGAAGGATGAAACTACAAAGGAGATCTTCACGGCAGCCATCAAGACAAAATGGGAGACATCGAGCAACATCCCTGAAGAAACCTGTGTGGAAGAACACTGGAAGTCTTTGAAAGCTATGTGGAAAGAAACCTGCACAGCCGTATTAGGAAGGAAGAAGAAAGAAGACAAGGAAGGAATGGATCTCGACGGACACATGGAAGCTGATAGAGCAGGGAGAGGAGGATGGTGAAGCAGAAGATAAACCAGTGCAAAGGATGCTCAACGACAAGAGGAACTGAGCACAATGTATAAAACACTGGACAAAGAAGTGAAGAAGAAGAAGAAGAGTGACAAAAGACACTTCTACGACACACTGGCAAGTGAAGCAGAACAGGCTGCAGGTAAGAGAGACCTGACGACATTGTATCAAATAACCAGGTTGCTATCAGGGAAGAGACCAACACAGATGAAACCAATAAAAGATGAAGAAGGAAATTTAATTACAAAAGAAGAGAAACAGAGGAAACGATGGGCCGACCACTTCAAGAAGCTCTTGAATCGACCACCACCTGCACTTCGTCCAGAAATACCACCTGCAGCCGCTGAATTACAAGTGAACATAAATCCCCCAACGAAAATGGAAGTCCTGAACGCCATAAAGCTACTGAAATGCGGGAAAGCAGCAGGACCAGATGGAATACCGCCAGAAGCACTGAGAACAGATGCAGAGACAACAGCGGACATGCTCACAACACTATTGCAGAAGGTGTGGAAGGAAGAGAAGGTACCGGACGATTGGAAGAAGGGTTACCTTGTCAAACTGCCGAAGAAGGGAGACCTCAGTGCTTGCAAGAACTGGCGCGGAATCACTCTCCTGTCCACCCCAAGTAAAATATTAAGCCGCATCATCCTGGAGAGGCTTAAAGACGCACTGGATTCAAAACTGCGACCGGAACAGGCAGGCTTCAGGAAGTACAAATCATGTGCAGACCAAATTGCAACGCTTCGTATCATCATAGAACAGAGCGTAGAATGGCAATCAGCTCTATACCTCAACTTCATCGACTTTGAGAAGGCCTTTGACAGCGTCGACCGAGAAGTAATTTGGAAACTGCTTCAATACTACGGAGTACCGCAAACCTTTATCCGCCTCATTCAACAACTATATGAAGATGCCACATGCCAAGTAATCCACAATGGGAAGCTCAGTGATGCCTTTGAAGTGAAGACAGGAGTGAAACAAGGTTGCCTACTATCCCCCATGATATTCCTTATTGTGGTGGACTGGATCATGCAGCAAACAGTAGGCAGCGAGAAGAGGGGGATACACTGGACGACGGAAAAGAACCTAGAAGACTTGGATTTCGCCGATGACTTATGCCTAATGTCACATAAACTTGAAGATCTGCAGGCAAAAACTAACAAGTTGACAGAAGAGGCAGCTAAGACGGGACTTCAGGTGAATATAGAGAAGACAGAAGTGATGAAGATACCGCACCACCACCATCAACAACAACAACAAACTCCAATCACCGTCAACGGGAGAAACTTGAAGGAAGTAACCTCCTTCACTTATCTAGGAAGCACTGTTTCAACTACAGGCGGGACGGACGAGGACGTCAAAGTCAGAATCGGAAAAGCAAGACAGGCGTTCATTAGCCTGAAACCAGTGTGGAGATCTTCTGCACTCAGCATCTGGAACAAGATACGGATTTTCAACACCAACGTCAAGTCAGTGCTCTTGTATGGCTCAGAGACTTGGCGCGTCACGAAAGGTATTTCCAATAAACTACAGACATTCATCAACAACTGCTTACGCTCGCTACTGAAGATCAGATGGCCAGAAAAAATAAGCAACAAGGAACTCTGGGAACGAACCAACCAAGAACCTATCACGCAACAAATATGCAGGAAGAAGTGGAGATGGATTGGCCATGCACTGAGAAGGCCGACTGAGGACATCACGCGTCAGGCCCTCGAGTGGAATCCCCATGGGAAGCGACGAGTTGGACGTCCGAGGGTGACATGGAGGAGGTCATGCGAGGAGGAAATGAGAGCTTCTGGGCTGTCGTGGAACCAGGTTCAAAAGATCTCAGAGAACAGAGGTCACTGGAGGCGTGCTACTGAAGCCCTATGTTCCACTAGGAACCCAAGGGACTAATAATAATAATAATAAGTGAGTAGATCCCTCAGACTTAACTGTTTGTTTAGATTTTTGCTGCGATTATGACCGTTCAGAAATCTTAGACCTGTTATTGTAGTTGAGGTTTCGTATATAGTAGCATTTAGGATGTTGGTAAGCAGATGAGTTTATTGTGGAACGTTTCAGTAAGTCGGAAATCAGTGGGGGAAAACCAGTTGAAGAGTTTTTACAAATTTTCTTAATATCGTATACGAAGTAGTGTTTTAGTAAGCTTATACTATTTTGGTCAAAATTATGCCAAAGATTTTCTCTTCAAGCTTATACTGAAAAGGTAATAAAAAAAGAAAGCACGGGAAGGAACCGAAGGGTGGTACATTAGGCAAGAGAAGTTGCAAAGAGGAAAGTTTCTATCAACTTTGACTCACTCAAGTTGTGTGTGCACTTTAACTTATGCACATCAAAATAACTCTTCTGTAGTAGCATTACTAGTAGTAGTAGTAGTCGTTTAGGTGCATAAATGTTTACAGAAACAAAAGTCCTACATTTTAAATTGATAAGGA